TACTTAAATACATAAATACATAAATAAGAAAAAAATTTAATTCAAAGAAGCCTAATCAGAAAACACAACAAGACAAAAAAATAACAAAACAAAAACAAGTACAAAGCAATACAAAACAAAACAAGTACGTGCACCGACGCCAAATACTGACAGCGAGAAACAAAAGTAATGTCAGAAAAACAGAGCATAACTCTGAATTAATCGTGTATTGATAGACCAAACCAATATGATGTACTACTTCCTCGTCCAAGCAATTTGTTATTTTTGCTTACTTTTTTCCACTTCCTGTTTTAACCCTTTCCGTACGCCCTGGGGTCAGTTTGTACCCCCGGGGTTGTATTCTTCACATTTTAAAATACTTCTAGTGTGAAGATCTCTTTGAAATTTTCAGTATTTATCAAAAAATAATGTTGACAGACTGCTATGCAAAGCATACGGATCGGATTGACGAGTAAATTTCCTGTTTGGGAAGTGGGGGCACAGAGGTCCCCACGTCGTATGGATACGATAGTAAAACACGACGTACGGATAGGGTTAAGAAAACCTAGGAAGAGAAAGTTTTGCAGTCGAACTTCTTCAGCTCTGCTGGGACGTGATGGGAACACATTTCATGTCTGACTTGATGAACGACTTTCTCACACTTAGTGAAATTAATCTGACAAAAAGCTGCAAGACATTCGCCGAACAGTTTGAGAACCCTTTCGAAAGAGTGTGGATCCTTTTCTCCCGCACTCCAGCAGTGCACAAAATTAGTTGACGTCAAGATGAAGCTACACTTGGCAAAGGCCTCCGACCGTCGCATTTTGTCAGTGCATTTCCAGGCGGTGTAGACCACATCAGCGCATGATGGTGGGGCATACGGGCTTTTGGGGGGAAAAAGAAGAAGAATAACAAGGAATAAATTCTTTTTTAAAACAGGATAATTAGGAATGTACGTGCTTTAATGGATGTGTGTGTGTGTGTGTGTGTGTGTGTGTGTGCGCGCGTGTGTGTTCGTCTATCTACCAACGTTTGTTTGTGTGTACGTTTGTTCAGGAGTGCGTGTGTGTCCGTGTGTATTTGTGAGTGTGTCTCGCAAACTTCCTCCGCCCGTGGCGTCAGTGGCATGTCCGATGTCAGGACGTACTTGCGTGTGCTGATTGATTAACAGAGATCAAATAGGCTGTCTATTTTTTCTTCTTTTAAGTACCAACGTACTCAAGAATGCCTTTCTTTTTTTCTGTAAACATCATTAGGTACACAGATTTCGGTGGCCTCCTCACGCTTCGTTTTCTACTTCTCTTCCTCTTCAGCCCCGTGGTAGTGTTCTCTTTTGTATTAGTAAGAGTTTTACGGCACTTGCTGCACAATTAGGTCATACGGGTGCATGTACCGAAGATTAGAAGTGTTACCCGAGAGTTACAGTTACAAACACAAAAAGTAGGAAGAAAGATGTTTGACAAGAAAGAATGAGCTTAAATCACATCAGAGCACCCATCAACCACCCACCGTAGTAATTTTTCTTATCTCCAGCAAGCTGTTCAACTATCCTGAAAACAGAAAGCAGAATTTTTCAGGAGACAGGAAAGAAAAACGGCAACCCTGTTTCCTTCTTTAAACAATTGTACCAACGCTATGTATGTTTCTTTTTCTTTTTTCTTCAAAAATTAGAATTAGAATTTCAACAAAATATTTATCGAGCACGTGCATCTAATGTTATAAATTAAGAAACTGCGATTTTTAAACTTTCAAAATTTGGAGTCTGCTACGTAATGTTCCGAACAGCTGATCCACAATCTTACTGTTCCTCCTCATGCTTCCCTTTCTTCTTCTTCTTCTTCTTCTTCTTCTTCTTC